TCATAGATGTGTTTTCTGCTAATGGCGACTCCATTTCCCCCCACAGTGTTAATACATGCATGTCATTAGCTGATTAATGCCATTGTTTATGAGGACATGTAAAGGGAGTGGACGAAGACAAATACAATATTTCTGACAAACGAGTCAGCAGGAGTTTCTGTGCTACGGTGAAAATAAATGTAGCCATACTCTTTCCTGCGCTGTTTGACTGTGCATGTGTGTATTATGAGACTGGTTTAAGAAGGGACCCCCATGGCGTAGTAGTAACTGATGAGTATGAGGGTGCGAGTACTGTACCTTTTATTTACATGTGGTTTGTGTGTAATTTAGGTCATTTATATATATATATATATATATAGATATATATATATATATACGTATTTATATATGTAATATTATATTTTCAACAAACATAGATGCAATATAATTTTCAGGAGTGTCCTCCTGTTTCACAGTGTGAATAGTTGTTTTCATTACCTTTGTTTTTTTTATTTTTCTGTGCAGAGGTGTTAGATCACCATGGTTTTACTATTGACTCTAAGGTAAGGGGGTGGCCTACAGTAACGTTCTCAACTGTAGTAAATAGATCCACAGTTCAGGTTTACCCTCACTCCTACTCCATACTGCAATGGGGAGAACTTCGGGGGTAGAACCTGTGCCATGTTACCACTGTGATGCCCTGTGATGAAGGAAAGACCAGGTAGAAAGTGTTTTGTTTTTTTGTTTTTTTCATTTTCAGAAAAGAAAATATTAATTGAGGTTAAATGTGCTTAAAAATGAAAATGCTGCAACATCATAGCTGTCACACGTGCAATCTTATCTTATCTATAAATTACCTAAATTATTCCCCCTCCAGTGTCATTAAATTTAGGTCACATTTCTGATTAGATGGGAGAATGCCACTCAGGCAGAGAAGTGCATTACTGCTGGGAATATCAGCATGCCAGCTCCTGGAGTGACCTAAATAGTTGCTTGTCCTTTGGGATTTGTGTAAAGGCTAAACTGGGCTATCTTGGAATTCCCCCTTCTGTCATTGTGTTTAGTCTTCGCCTCTTTTATTCTGATGCCTCTTTAAATTGGACTCTGCTTCAAAGATAAAACCTGAAAACTAGAACAGTTGTCTAAGGACTTGAACATTTTTTAAGTTGTTTTTCAGTAGTTTTGTTGTACTATTTTGTTAGAGGATAAGACGATTAAACCAAATAACAGTTAGAGAAAGGGTGATTATAAAACTCTTTGGTACCTGTTTATGATACTGTTGTGATACTATAACAAAAGATCACATTATACTATTGATTAAGGATGTAGTATTACAGGTGATTACCGTAATCTACCTAAAATCTATTGCGATCACTAATTACGATCATAGAATTGCTCAGTCCAATTATGAACTAACAATGAACATTGAACTGTAACTGTCTTTCCTGAGAAATTCTGTGTCCTACACAAGATCAATATGCTGTTTCATTCACACTGATAATTTTTAATTCTACAAAATGTTGTTTATTTACCATTAGATTTGAATATACTTGGTATAAACAATTGCATTGGAAAATTGGATTTAATAATAATTTTATAGTAATTTTGTAATATTAACCTTTGTCTTCAAAATTGTCAACGAATCATAAAGGTACCCAGTGATTCCCACTGCTAGCTGTACCAGCATTAACAAAGAATGAAACAGGACTAAAAGCCTCTGAGCAAAACACTGTTCTGATCCTGGTGTCCAGTCCTACTGCTTTGAATAATTCACCAGTGGGACACACTGTCTCTGTGTCACTGCTATTTTCTGTGCATAAACATTACCATCATATTAAAACAAGAGAAAAAGAATTAGAGTTTCATTAAACAGAAAGATGAAATTTCCTATAAACACGATCGAGTGGCTTGCTTCTCAATGTTCCTTTTTTTATTGGTCTAGTTCAGTATCCGTCCTCTCTGTTCCAAAGTGATCTCTCCGGTTTGTATGCCCAGTCATGAGGAGAGTTGGCTGTAGTAGTAAAACAATGCGGTGATGCAAGTTTATCGTCACTCTAAATAACTCCTTACAGGAACCGCTGTCTTTAGACTCGAACAATTGACTATTGTGCTGGCACCTGCAAAACATGTGCTCAGTAGCATGGCTTGATATTTGTTACGTCTACAAAGGAAAATGCCGTTGGTGCGTTGGCTCTATTTATATACAGAGGCATAGTAGATGGTAAGAACCGGTCTTACCATCTATTACCATTGTTATTAATTAAAGGGAGTAGTTCTATGTCTGTTTTTTTGATGGGTTAGATCAAGAGTTAATTTACTGGTAAATACACATGGCACACCAGAAAACTCTAAGATCTAAGTTGAAAGTTATCCTAACAGGCAAACACAAAGACACAGGAATTACATACCAGACCTAAATGACATTACGCCTGACATGGACTCCATCTGGATTCCATATCTTCCTTTACACTGTGGACCATCTTGGAGCAGCCTGCACTGATTTCCTGTGGAGTGATATCAAGTCTTCTAACATAAGGTCTTCAACTAGTGTTTCATTATAAACTGTGCTTTTTGCCCAACTTTAATTCTGTGAGATTCTATTCATTTTACTTTAGCATTAGCACTGAAGCCTTCTGTTAATTCGACTTTGGTTAATTCATGTTCTCTACAGTCTCTATGAACATGCAGAGCTAGACTCATGACAGAAGTTTAAAGTCAGTTCCACTTTTGAAAAAAAAAGAAAAGAAAACATTGTACATAACTTCCTCATAACTTCATTAAGCCTGGCCTAACCTAGCCATGACTCATGTAGATAGCCTAACCTTAACCTAACCTAACCTAACCTCACCCAACCTAGTCTGGCCCAAACAGTTAGATTCCAGTTGATAAATGCACTTTGACATGTTTATTTTTCTTTAATAAACAATGTCTTAGTCACGATGTTTTAATCCTCTTGTTAATCCTTCTTTAAACTGCTTTCCACATGCAATTTGCTTGCGACACAGTAGCAAATTAATCGTGAATGAAGTCATTTAAAGCACTTGTTCATCAGTGGAGTGTTAACAAAAGCATGTAAACAAGGCTACATCATGACTGGGAAACACTTGTTATAGTGGGGTTTGACTGAAATGGGAGGATACAGTATAGCATACCTCACTACAACCTTAATCACAAGATGTTTTGTAGTTTGTCCCCTGAAGGCTTATGGTCTAATGTGACAGCCTCTGTAGCAAACTCCTCATCATTCGGCAGTAATAAAACCTAAATTAAAATTTTTAAAAATCAAATATTTTTATATTCACACAAACCAGAGTGTTAATTAACAATACATTCGTATACAGTAGATATTTAACTGTTACATTACAGTAATCTCAGTTTGAATGGAAATCTGAGTATTTTTTCACCCACTTTATCAAAGGTTGTTCCCAAATAACTTCTTCTTGTTTTCATAAATGGTCAACATATACAGATACTTCTTTTACAAATACCTCTATATCCAGCTCAAATCGCTACATGTATTTCAGAATACATGTATGCGATTGCAGCCTTTTCTGAGTTATGCATTTAACACTTTACACTATATTACTCACGTTATATGATCACAATTTGTAGAACTAGTTCCTTTTCGCCCCCTCTCCTTTTCTCACACATTTCCTCCTACAGTGTACTCCTCCATGTGTGATGGTTCTTTTTCTTTTTTTGCATAATTCAGTTACTTTTCAACTAAGTCAGATGCCTACCTTCCTTCCTTTCACCACTTGAAGAGGGCCATTCTCAGTGGGATTTTTTTAAACCAATCTGTGGTTTGACAATGTGTTTGACACTGTGCTCTTTGTGTTAGTGTCAGTGAGTCACAGGTGAAATGCTAGCACTGATAATGTGAATTTACCACAGTGAGGCATCACTCATACTTGCTGACTATTAAATGTTACTGTATGTCTGGATGTTGTAAGGCCAGAGTCATTAAATTGTTGTTTTTGTTTTTTTGTTTTTTTTGTATCATGACTACAATAAGCATTAGTTGCCATGCTTATTGTTCTCATTGAACCTGTTGTTTAAATGGTTGGAGGTCAGTGGTTTCCTTTTCTTACAATACTAACAGCAGTGGGGAAACACAACACAGGAAGTGAGCAGCTAGAAGCTCAGCTGAAGAACAACCGTCTGTGGACAGCAAGTGTCGAAAGAAAACAAAATAAATCATGGGTTAATAATTCACAGTTTTGAGTAGTTTATAGTAATGGGAAAACAACACAGTGTGGACAAGTGTGGACAGAAGTGTTGCACTACAAATTTAAACACAGGCTCAATGAAATCTACAGCACACGTCTACTCTACATAGTTCAGTACATGACAGTGTTGGTGGTCATATAATGAAACAACATTGTCGTGCTTCTTGGTTATGGAGGTGAAAGCTCTGTATCTTACTCAGCTGTTACTACAGTGCTGACGCCTCAAAGAGTTAAAATACCCAGACCTGTCCTGGGGAAAAAATGAAAAAGCACACAACAGTCTACTCCCACTTTCTCTACGGTCTCAGCTGACCACCTGTTAGACGGGGGGGCTCAGCGGTTCTTTCATGAAAGCTGTTTGCTCATGCGAAACTAAACAATTCAGTCATCTGTCACCTGACGACGTGGAAAAAACAAGCCTCAAAACACGCCTTTGACTCAAAATGCGTTGGAGCTCCTATTATTAATTTTTTGTCTGATTACATCAGTGAATTTTACCTTTTATCTCAGGACAAGTGAATTGATATTTCATCCCACCCCAGTGCGTACACACACGTCAGTTGCTGTGGAAGTTGCAAAGAATGTGACACATGCCTGTAGCCACCACCTGAGACCTCAGCTGTCTGCACATGCTGCCAGGCTCGACTGGACGTAGTTCGCAGGGTGAGGCATATGTTGCAGTAAGGTCGTGAAAGGGATTTTTTTTTGTTTTATCACGTTTTTAAATCTCAGGTAATTTCACCTACAAATATATCAATTCATTTATTGATTATTTTCTACTTCTACTGATTCTATCACTCTAGCAATACCTTGATTTACATTTCACGACAATTTGGTTTTTCTCCAAACATCAGTGAGGTGCTGATCTGGCATGAACAGCGTGGCCTGTTGTCTCCTGGGTGTTTATTCAGCCTTGACAACTGCTGAACAGCCGAGCTGGCACAGCTCATCAGCACATGGCTGTACGGCTACAGGCGGATTTAAAGGGTCAGACTTGTTTAAGGGGGAGGTTGTACCACGCAGTGATGCACACTTCCACAATGGTGACTAATTATTGGAGACTAAGTTAAAGGGGTAAAACTGATATCTGATCATTGCAACTCTGTTTTGGCAAACTGTGAAATATACAGCTTTTAGTAGTAGATTGATAGAACTTATTAATTCATCCCTTAAGAGTCTATTTTTCGGGCAGTATTTTGTGGGAACAAAAAGTGTAAATCTCATAATGATCCAAAAGCAAATTTTAGTCATTAACTCTTGAATCTCTGCATTTATTAATGGCTGCTGTGACTGCTTTAAAGTACAGCACTTGAAATATTGGACAGCCTGTGACCTGTTGTGTTAAGTGTTTACCAAAATGTACCTGCTGGGATAATAAGGTGACCTTAAATAAAAGGTGGAAATGGCTGCATTATGTGATATGTGAACATAAATCAGAATTTAAAAAAAAACATTCTTCATATGCAATTTGTTAGCACTCCAGAGCATATAGATCACATTAATTCAATAATGTGTGCGTACACATTGATTTAAATGATTATTTGTTTGAATACGTAGATAAGGTACTGTACGTAATTGTAAGTTACTTCTCTTATAGCTCCATGATAGTAGTCCACGACTGTGTCAGCTGAAGGTACTACTTACTGTGTAAACTTGGCTCAATAGCATGACGACTGTGTCAGCTGAAGGTACTACTTTATTAACAGGAAACTACAATGGCCTTGTGGTTGTCACTCCCTGTTCACTTCGAGAACCTGCAGCATGCAATAACAGTTATTTCAAAAGAAAACCCGAGGTGCAGTATCCTGTGTCCCAACACAGTGTCACACACTCTATTTGCTGGGTTTTTTTTTTTTTTTTTGGATATTATCAGTAAAATGATGTCATTAATTCCTATAAAGTTGAGTTTTATACCCATTTAGTTCAAGCGTCACTCACAAATTTGCTACAGTCTATTCTCAACACAGAAACAAAGTGTTTCTTGTTTCCCACTGGTGTGTTTTCAATACATTGACTGTTGCCAGGCAACCTGCTACAAACAGGTTGGTGGATGAAATGCATATAGCTGTATGGTAACAGTATTGTTCAATTCTTACAGTACATGGTCACTGCTACACACTACAGAGTTATATACACTGGTAGTATTTTAGGTCAACAACTGTTGAATATAAACAGCTTGTTTTGGTTTTGTCATTTCTGCTGGTCTTTGTTTTAATCAGCTTTTTTTTCTTTTTTAGATTTTGACATGAAGAAGGACATAGACACATTGATATCAGAGGAACGTAATGAGATCATCTCTAAATATGACAAGGTCAGAATGGGAATTTTTTGCCAAACAGTTTGCGTGCATTCAATATTCTCAATGGGTGTTTTGATTTTTTTCAGGGGAGGCAGGAGGGCGTCAAAATTGACCCATGGGAGGACGCTGACTACAGCATCTGTAAGGTCATCGACCGCTTTGGCTTCCTGCAGTAAGTTATCGTAGTGAAGCGCTGACACCTTCCTTGCAGTGTTTCAAATTCTTAAGAGTCTTTTCTAATGTGTGATACGCCAATATTTCTATTTTTACACCAGTGAAGAAGAACTACCGACACCCAGCGCTTTAGAAGAGAAGGTGGGAATTTTTACTGTGATTTTAACACATTGGATGATGTTGTTGTTGATTTCCCGAACCACTTATTATACAGTTCCCAATTTTTAAAATTGATTTAATAATATTAGTTTATAGTATTAAATCCGTAATACAACTAAAAATGTGTATTTAGTCAAATGTGTTTGGGTAAAAATGTCCTCCAAGTCCATTTAGGATCCAATTTAGCTCTACAGAGGCTAACGCTAGTGAAGTACATGTACAAATACATGTACCTTTAACAGTGGTGGCTAAAGATGAATAACAAATACATTAACAGCAGTATGAATGTTAAGAGAAAGACACAGAAGGAATCTCTGTAGATTAACAAATCCAATGTGACCAGTGTCCTTTCAACACTTGAAACAATGGGTGGATGATTTGAACGAGTGCCAGCTTCAAATACTCTGATTCCTCATAATTAACTCTGGAAGAGAAGGCAAAAACGTAGAAAAAAGCTGTCAGAACAGCTTGAAATCACACCTCTTACAGCACACACACATTTGTAACAGATGTAAAGATGGGTTTCTGAGTAATATACACTATTTTGGGCTCCTCAAGAATAACACGGCAATTTAACTGGTAATCCATCAATCGGTTTGGTATACATGAGAATCTATCTCTCTCTCTGTCTCTCACACACACACACACACATTCTCATGATGCAGTTTCTCATGTAGTAGACGCAGAAACTCACGCAGTTTCTGATGTAATGTCAGTTGGTCCCACAACAATTTAAATATTGATGATATTGATTGATCGTTATCTGATCTCTTGAATTAGAATTAGTCATTGATCAGAACATTGACTTTCTTTTAACCCAGCTCCAGTGATGTGTTTGTCTCCTTACATTAAGACTCTTGTGTATGCTATGCTAAATTATGGATTAAACAAACGTGGCTGAAGTAGGCATTCAGCTCAACCCTATTTCTTTGTATTTTTCATTTTCTGCAACATGTTCTAAGGCGGTCAATGTATTAGTGAAGTGAAACATGATTAGACTCTAATTAACCAACGTTTAAATCTGTTTCACAGCAAAAGCAGCAGGGCCTTGAGCGAGTGCAGAAGTGGCTGAAGATGGTGAAGAACTGGAACAAGTACAAGAACAGCGACAAGGTGTTGATTTCAGTAACTGTAGACAACAAACCACAACAAAACATACTCATATACAGCAGTGTCCCCAGATAAGTTTGTGATGTTTTCTTTCCACTGCTATTAATAATACTCTTCTTCTTCCTCTTTTAACTTAGCCAGTTTCCTGGAGTTTAAAAAAATGAGTACTGACAAAACTGAGACCTAGTCGTTCAGTTTGATTGGCTGCAGCAGAGAAGCAGCTCTGTGTCTCTGTCCACTGGTTGTTATGCTGAAGGTTCAGAATGTCCATGTTCATGTCAGTTGTGTGTGTGTGTTTCAGTTGGTGAAGCGCGTTTATAAAGGGATCCCTCTGCAGCTCAGAGGCCAGGCCTGGGCCCTGCTTCTGGACATAGAGAAAGTCAAAGGGGAAAACCAGGGTAAATATGAGGTAAGGATATAAGGGTTCAGACGACGTCTAACACTACCGCTTAGATTCAGTTTTTTGTTTTTGTGACACATTTGTTGATGTTTCTTGGCCCGGCAGAAAATGAAGCAACAAGCTCGAAGCTGCTCAACAGAGATCAGACAGATTGACTTGGACGTGAACAGAACCTTCAGGAACCATGTCATGTTCATGTACCGCTTCGGAGTCAAGTGAGTTTGCAGCTTCACTCTGAAGAATGCCTTAACTGCACATTTAAATGTTTCCTGTAGGAAAAGGAAAGCAGTTTCACTGTTTCCTCTATGAAGTTTAAAATATTTTTGTCACTGCACCTTTTAAACCTGTGTGGTCGAGCGCCGCCCTCTGACCAATCCTGAGCCACACATCATGTGTCATGTGATTTTCTGTGACCTCTTTAATAACAAGTATCTCAGAGTTGGAGATACTTGTTTTGTTTCGTGTGTCACCTTACAGGTTCAGGTCTACCGTGACTGTGGATCCTGCAGGGTGTGACCCCTGCCCTCCCTCCCCCCTTTCGTCACACAAACGCGCACACACAGCTAAAGCGGTTGTTTCCTCTCCTCAGTGTTTTATTAGCCTTCCTGTCAGAGCTCTGAGCCCCACAGGAAATGACATTCATACAAAAATGTGCATCGACATGAAAAGTGCATGAACTGAAAACCACTGTCCACTCCAGAGCCGCACTACACACAACACTTTGAAAAAGAAAAAGAAATCAACATTCGACATAATAAAAAAAACATTTTTGCTTAGTAATTTGTGTTAAAATGCTAAATGCTGGATGAAGTTTCTAAACGTAAGCAGACCAAAACACAACCATCCTTCCTCACTGCCCACTCCTTCCTTCCAAGTCAGATTGGTCTCACTCACACTCAGACTCGCTATTTAAAGCTTCCCTGCTGTCTCTAAACCCTAACCTACAGACTCTTTTTTTTTCTCTCCTCTTTTGTACATGGGATTATGGTGGTGTCCCACCGTGTTCACAAATTTACAACTATTGCCTCACAGTGGCACAATTAAACAATATATTATTGAAACCAATTTGCACTACTACGCCTTCCTTGCAACAGGGGTCCACAACCCCCACTTTGGGAACCACTGATTTTAATTATGTGTTGCTGGTAGAGGGTGAGCGGCCAAAAAGTTTGGGAACTGCTGCTGTTTATTAATATGTTCTGTGTTTGAGCCTATGTATACTGTACTCCGGTAGTAGTACAATATGATGGTATTGGTGTATAATTATGAATGTAAACAGATTAGAACGTGGATGAATCAATTACAGTTGGTTAAGGCACAGAAGGTGCTACAGCGAGGCTGGAGGACGTAGACCGCCTGCAACTGTGAACACTTATTGATCCTAAAGGAGGAAGAAGAAGAAGAATGTCAAATGCCTTTAGTCATATCCCCATGAGGGTTGTGACTAATGACCTCAGCTATGACCTCAGCCACACTTCTCTATACTGTACATGTGTTAACCTGTTGTTAAAGGCCACGTTGCTCTTAATGACTGTTTGACTGATTTTCTTTCCACTGTTCTGTTTTCAGGCAGCAGGAGCTGTTTCACATACTAGCAGCCTACTCTGTCTACAACACAGTAAGTGTTCACATCTGCGTGTGCCTGTTACATAATGTGGTGTTACAATGGCACCACTGTTACAACAGTCACCGTTCAGTGTGTTTTCTACAGTGCTGCGGTGAATGATTTAAACACTTATAACTCATCTGTTTCTGTTCTTGTTTAGAGCCGTGAGTGAGATCTTTTATTCATGAGCGTGGCTCAACATGAGCACACAGCAGTTTAACAGTCAGACTGACAGTAAACCCACAACCATACACAGGACTGAGGCGTTTTCAGACCAAGTCCCTCCTTCTGTGTCATATTGAATATGGGTTTTTTTTCTAGTGAAGCCAGTTCAGTTTGGTTCCATCTGTGTACTTTGAATACCTCTTGAAGTTATTAATCATACTTGTGGGTCATTTGTTTGCTCATCACAACATGTGTGCGAAACACTGAACCTTTGTGTTGCTCAGGGCCAGAGTAACGTACGTATGTTTAAAAACAGACCAGTGTGTTTTTTCTGTTTTGAGCCTGTAGTCAGTTCCTGTGTGGTAAAGGTGTTTCAGCCAGAGGAAATGGAATTTTGCCGTTCCTGTTTTTCCTTTTCCCTCATTTTTATACACTGCTCAGCAGAAACTGGGTCAGTAGTAGAAGGCTGGGGAGAAAAGATGAGGCAGAAAAGTGTGATGGACGATGGACACCCCTGGTCTAAAAACCTTTTAGACCAGGGGTGTCAAAGCCCCGGGAGGGGGGCTACTCCTGGCCCACTAATCCCCCAACATCTGGCCCACAACCAGATGTCAGTAATAATTACATTTTGCCAAATCTTTTGCCAAAATTTTGACATCAAACAAAGACGCTAATCTCCAGCAGCAGCAGAGGCCCACAGGTCATTTGAGATTGAGACGCCTGTTTTAGATTATGTCATAGGAGAGGAGATATTCAAGTACTTCGATGAAAAAGTACCCACATTAGTAGTGCAGTAAATCGGTGTCTGTTTTTTTTTTTTTTTGCATCTGTGCATGTCAAAGAAAATGTCTCCGTCTTAAATTATTGACTGGTGGTACAGTGAAGACACGACACTGTTGAGACAGTGGGCGTGGACTAACAGTAAATATTTAACAAGCTTCAGTAAAAGTGTTTATAATATGTACTGCAGCTGCTTGTCGGGAGTAATACCACACGTATTTACAGTCTGCCATCACATCCACAACCACATCAGACATTCAGGTGCTGTAGAAGCTCCAGTGTGTGTGTGTGTGTGTGTGTGTGTGTGTGTCTGCACTGGATTGATAATAATGAATAATCCCAGCCATTCTGTTGAAGTGAACCTGGCTCTTCTCCTGTGTTCCCTCAGGAGGTGAGCTACTGCCAGGGCATGAGTCAGATCGCTGCCATCTTACTCATGTACCTGAACGAGGAGGACGCCTTCTGGGCTTTGTCTCAGCTCCTAACAAACAGCAAGCATGCCATGCATGGTGAGACAGAGGGCGAGATGGAGATAACATTTTTTCATCATTAAATTTTTTTTATGTCTGTTTTTTTACCCAATAAGGCATGAGTTTATATTTATTCTCCCTGCTAGGGTTTTTCATCCCGGGATTTCCAAAGTTGCATCGTTTCCAGGCCCACCATGACCTGATCCTCTCAAAAATGCTGCCTAAGCTAAAGAAACACCTGGTGAGTTAGGGAACATTTCTATCTATATTACACACACACACACACACACAGAAAAGGGAAAACACCGGCACATGTGGTTTACAGTGAATGAATTGAGGTTATTTCTCATTGTATGACGTTCTGAGCCTCTTACGATTTATTATCACAAAATTCATATTAATTCCTCCTCTACAGGACAAGGAGCAGATGGCAACAGGGATTTACACCACCAAATGGTTTCTACAGTGCTTCATCGAAAGAGTGAGTATTTTTCTTTTGACCTTGTAAATATTTAGTGGCTGTTTAATGTAGTCCCTGAAATCCCTGATCCAACTGTGTCACTGACGTCAACAGACCCCTTTCACCCTCACCCTGCGTTTATGGGACATTTATTTACTGGAAGGAGAGAAGATGTTAACTGCCATGGCATACACGACTCTGAAGTTACACAAGAGTAAGTACAGTACAAGGGTTCATTATGGTGTCAGTTCATTATGATTACTAACTGCTGCTGTTGACATTCATGAAGCTGTGTTCACATTGCTGCGTATTTACTGGGAACCTAATAATATTCAAGTGCCTATTAATAAGCATTGCCTCAGCATAGGCAAGTCAGGCAATTTCAAATTAATTCCTTCTGCTTCCTTTTGTTTGCACGTTGCGTCCAATCAGAGCGTCTGCAGAAGTTGCAGTTAGAAGACCTGCGGGAGTTCCTTCAGGAGCAGCTGGAGACTTCTTTTTTCCATCCTGATGATGTTGTGGTTGAAGAGTTACAAGTTGCCATCTCTGACCTACGCAGTAAAAAGCTGGACCAAATTCTTCCAGGTGCAGTGGTGGTCTCCTACCATCACCTTTTTTAACCTTTAAAAGCTGCATTGTTGTCATTCTTTGTTGACACATCTTTGTTTTTTTCTCCATTAAGCCAAATCAGATGAACTACCAAAGAAACCTCTGGGTCAGGAGAGACCTGTCCTCCTCCTGCCACTGCCTCTGGAAGTGAACGTTCAGCCCAACAGTCATGAAAAAGAAGAAGAGATCAGACACACAGACAACAACACCCAGCATCAGTCTTCTCATCATACAGAAGTCTGCATCCTCAGGACCAACACTCCTTCATTACCTTCACCAGATCCAGTTGTAGTGCACACACAAAGAACACCATCTCCCATAAGGCCTTTTAGAGCACCCCCCTTACCTCCGAAAGCCAACACACCTCGAGTTACAGTGGAGACCGACAAAGCTGGGAAGGAGTCACTCCCAGAGAGAAGCCAGGCTACGGACAAATTACAAACTAAAGCAGGATGTGGAGACACAGAGACGATGAAGGAACCTGTGGAATGGCCTCCACCGTACGAGATTCCTGATCTGGATATACTCAGTAGGCAGGCAGAGAAGGAGATCATGGACCTTCCAGTTCTGCCACCTCCTCCTCCTTGTTACCCTGAGCAGTTTGAACAGCGAAAGCACCGCAGTGAATCACCTGGCCTGAAGAAGGAGGGCGCTCCAGAGACTCGGTGTCACTCTCCTCACCGCTCAGCTTCACCTTTGATCGCACAAATCAAGCCATTTCCAAAACCACCAGTGGCTGTTGATATTCAGCAGAAAAAGATTTCCTCCTCAAAACTTTCGTCTTGTACTACTTTTTCCTCCTCCTACTCTTCTCCTAGACTGGCTCCTCCAAAGCCGTCCAAGTTCCCAGTCTCACTCTACGTCCCTGCCCCTGCAGGAGACCGGCGACCGTCCAACGTCTCCCAGTACGACAACCTGTCCGAGGCTGATGAGGATGAGCGCTGTGCGGAGAAACTACTGGCTTCCACTCCTGAGGAGACATTCAGCGTTCAGAGCAATAACGGAGACTTTGCCCCTGCTGTGCACCCTCCTTCAGCACCTCCTGTCTTCATCCCTCCGTCTCCTTCTCTGACTCCTTCCTCACTCTACCCTTCCACCAGTTTACCACAGGAACCTGAATATGGAGGTGACACCAGCATGTATTCAGACACACAAAAGGCCGCCTCTCCCAGTTACCATAAGCCTTTCTCCAGGGGTCGCAGGAACCATTCTGCCTTCCCAGCACCCCTCTTGTACACCGGTTCACCCCCGGGTAATTCTCGGCCTCTAGGACAGTCTACAGTGAGGGCACCTTTGGTTCAGCCCAGCCCAGGCTTTTGTAGGATGCCCCCAGGTGGACAGCAGCTGCCTAAATCAGTGACTTTTTAAAGTGTGAAGGTGTTCTTGGCTACAGAGCCAAAGGCCAGTAACAACCAGGTGTGGTTGTCTATGTTTTTTCACCGATATGTACAGTTTTGCGAGGATAGTTTACTTTTTTAAAGTTGTAAAACTAAAAACTTATTTAAAACTTGTCTGTTACTTTCTGCTGTATGACATGGTCTGTCCCTGTAAGTGGGTTGTAACCTTATTTGGATTAACAGTCAGGACAAATTGACAGGTCATCCCTCCTTGTGCACCCATCTATCTAAATGTATCTAAATGCACCTGTATATACCAAGCAGTGAGCAGGCTCACCCGACTTAAATGTACACACATCCCATTTATTTACTTTTACTTGAATCACTATTTCCTCTTAAACAATAACTGCAGGCTATTTTTTTCCAACCACCAGCAGGGCACGCTATGTTTTTTTTATTACTCTTTTGAAAATGTTTGAGTTTTACTTTAAAGAGCACTAACATAACATCTCTTGGCTATATAAATGGATTTGAAAGTGTATTATAACAATTGTAGCCATCACCGGAGGGGGCTGTATTTACTGACAGCGTCACAAAAGTGAAGTTCTCTGTACCTCCTACAAAATATTCGGAGTGAATTTTATATCGTGAGATTAGAGATCAAATAGTTCCAATGTGGAACCGCTCGTGTTTATTCTTTTTGAGTGAAAATTACCTTAAGTAAATGTATTATTATTATTAATGCCAGTGTGACTTAAGCAGCAAACAAAAGCACAAAAATTGACGATTGAATGACCACGGGCCAATCTAATATGGCGGTCAGACTGCGGGCCTGTAATGACATACAGTACACATTTATGAACAATGGCTCCCTCTTGTGGTTGGAAGCACTTACTCGACAGTTGGCAAACCAAATAAATTGAATTCCAGTGGTGAAAACGTTAAAGCTACCTGCCCAATGAATGTACACGTATGAAGATAAGCAAAAGGAAACGTGTCTATGATTTATAACCAAAGTGATGTTTGTGCACAGCCATAAGGGAGCTGTTAAGCAGAAACAGGACAGTGTTTGAGAAGTGGATGAAAAGGCATAATGTTGACTATGAGGTTTGTATTTTTGACTACATTTTGTTGCTTACGGCAGTATTTACTGCTTGAACTACTTTGTTAAGGTGTTGTAGTTCTTCGGTCAGTATTTATTTTTAACATTGAAGATTGTAGTTACTGAAAAAGAAAACAAGTTCAATCTGAACTGTTTAATGGATGATTTGGAGTCTCTCACCGTGTCTCCTTTTTGCCCAGTGATTGATATCGTCCACAGCTGGCCTCAGTCCAAACGTGTACATTTGTACTTGTACATTTCCTTGTTTGAGTTTTATAAAGACGATAATCCCAGTTTTCTGTCGTATTCTGTAGCCACAACACACAGCACAACATGTGATCAATATTTTTTATTTATTGCACACCCACACATGTTCCTGTACATATCTTGGCTGGTAGCTGTAGAATATTTTAACATAAACAGAGGTATTGGAAAACATGAAATATAATATTCTTATGTTGTAGGATTAAAAAAAAAGAAAATGACAAAATACACAAGCAGTACTCTATCAGTGATACAAACTAAAACATGTGCAGTAATATACAGGCTTAAATTTCCCCATGCTTTGATTCATCAGTTAGTACAAAAAAAGCAATTCTCTTTATTCAAAAAATAATTATTGTTAAAAGATTATAAATAGCTTAATCTTTTTTAAAACGCTTCTTCATTGTGCTTTAAAGCTTTTATAAACCCAATGGTATATTCTTTTGTCCAGATTTTGTGTTGATGCATTTAGTGCTTATAAATATTTACAACAATAGCCGATAGTTCTATTCTCCCACATTAACATAAATATAGAAGATAACTGGAAAACTAAACATGTGATTAAATTGCACATTCTAAGCTCAGAGCACCTTCATCTAATGAACACTCTCCACCTGCCTGGGATCATATTCTCAGTTGATTCATGAGGTTCGAAAGGGATGAGATGCTGTCCTTAAATTTGGAGTCCTCCTCCTTCCCCAGTGATACTCCAGCCAGGCGCGTGGAGCCATCTGATCCCAGAATGCACGGCAGGCTCAGGAAGACTTCTGCGGATACACCACCCCAGCTCTGGAGAAAACAACAAAAACAGAAAATAAATCGAGAGTAAGAGAGATTTTATTTATCATTTGTCATTATTTTTTAAATCATCATTAAAATATCCATTTAACTACATCTGTCTGTGACACATTTATACAACACCTGAGCAAGTGTGGAGACAGAGTGGGCCTTCATGGAATTTGTCAGGATGCTGTTGGTGATGTCGGCGATGGACAGACCCACAGACAAAGACCGCTGTCCTTGATTTTTGATCATATCAAAAGCCCTACAGAAACCAAACAGACAACATTTACTAATGTCAGAATTCCACAACAGGACACCACTTCTATCCTTAGTCGGAATAAATAAAACACCTCAACAGCACATGGACGAGGCGCCTTAACTGTGTCGTAAATTTCTTTAAATCATGCAAATGTTAGAAAAAATGTCTGACTCCACAGTGAAAATCTTTTGGCTCCAGGTTAAAGGAACTGGTGTAAGTACCTGTCTAACAGAGGTTTGGTTGCACTGGAGCCTGGGGCGATCTCTGGCTGCACACTGGAGCTGAGCATTGTGTTGCTCATGACTACGACTGTTGAGTAAAAACAAACAATCTCAATCATTTTCTCATAGTCTTGGAAAGCAAATGGAAAAGGCACAATAAAAAAGGTAGAACTAGTGGCACTAATACCAGGGAGATGAGCATATAAAGAACATCAGAGAACACAGTAATAAAAATAAATGATAAAATTAAAAAAGAATTAAAATAAAGTTTTGCAAACTGGAAATCACTCAGCCATGCTGTAAATAATTCAACGAGTCTACTCGGTTCACCTTTGTTGTCTGACAGTTCTCCTATGACCCAGGCCGTTTTGTGAGTGTTAAGGTGAATATCCAGCGCATGACTCAGTCGCTCCGAGTCCAGGTTACACCCTGCACCGATCACCCGTGACGGAGGAAAGCCACTCTGTCTCCAGGCAACATGAGTCATGATGTCCACTGCAAATGAGGCAGACAGAGAGAATGGTTTGACAAAGGAAAAAGATTTCTGCTTCAAAAGGCCTGTTCCACAGAAAGAGCGTCTGTGGACGAGCTGCCAACCTGGTTGTGAGGCCACCAGCATCACAGCACTGGGACTGAGCCGTGCCAGGTTGGGAATGATGCTCCTGTACAAGTCCACGTTAGTTTGAAGCAGGCCCAAATACGACTGACTGCTGCTCCAGGCGTTGAGCGTGACCACGATAACTGCAGAGCCAGCAGAAGCCGACAAATCTGATGGAAGGGAGTCACCATTAATATTGATCTAAGAAATCCAATTCCCCAGAAACAAAGCAACACAAATAATCACCACTGATGCACAAACCTGATGGAATATAATAAAAGCTAAAGATCTGTACATGTTAACGAATTAGGATTTAAGAAGCTTAAGGAAGCCATATTTGTCACATGACATTGATTACAAATAATGACAGTGGAGTCGAAATTGCATTTGGCCCTGATTGAAGAGCAGTTATAAATAGAATTTTAAAAAAAATACAATATATACATATATACACATGTATAGAGATACACACACACATATATACACACACACATGTAGATACAGTATATACATAGTAAGTGTTCTCTAGCGCCCCCATTTGTGGACAGGACCATTGTCAAGTTCGTGTCCACCAAACAGTAACATGTCTTATTTGTCATTTTACTAAATTATAAAAAAGGAAACAATAAAATGCATTTACTGTACAGTAAACCTGATACATTATCTATAAATGATATTAAACCTGCTTTTAGATTTATTGCAATTTGCCTTTTCTACTTCCTCTTCCTACTCCACCCCCCCACCCCCACGCCCCGCTTATGTCACAAAACAAATCACATGGAGTCACATGCAGACTGGTGTTCGTGGTGACCTTAAGATCAGAACCTTATATATATATATATATATATAGAATAATATACATTATATAGGTTTAAAAAAAACAAACAAAAAAAAAAACACCACATGACTCTAAATACCTGTTGACTGCATCACTGGATAATAATGATGATAATAATGACTGTGCGGAGAGTGACATACCTCTGGACACTTCAACCTTTGGCACATCAAAGATTTCCAAATCTGTACTGCCACCTTTGGCAGAATTCTCTGCAGAGTCAATGACAACCAGTTTGTCCACTTTACACTGAAGAGCATGCAAAAAAACAAACAAATGACGTTTTAATTTCATCAAGGAAGTGTGCAGAAATATGGTTTCAATAACTGTAATAACTGTAAGGTAAAATGAGGAGACTTACTTTTGCTAAAATGCTCATCACGGCAGCCGTTCCTAAGTCTCCCCCTCCGACAACACACACTTTCACAGGCTGGCGATGGGGTCGGACACCTGCGTTAACAAATGAGTGAGAAGTTTAGTTACAGCAGCCCCGCATCTTAACGATTCACCAATAAGTGAGAAGCTGCTCATTGTGTCAAGCACCGTCATTAATCTGGATCTTATTGACAAATGCCAGGAGCTCGTGTGGATCTTTGTTGCTGTCTTTGGGCTTTGAATACAGCGGCGGTTCATCCTCGAACTTGATAATCATCTCATCCAGAAGACCCACCACCGACGTCTTGGGCTGGAAACAACAGCAACACAATTATAATAATAATAATAATAATGAGAACTCCACGGAACCCGACCACAGACCCAGTGGGTCTGCAGTGATGAGTCAACCAAATGATGACGACAATTCCTAACAGATGTCTCGCTGTTCTAAGTAGGTTTGTAATGCAATTTTTTTTTTTTAGCATTTGAAACAGACATTTATTTGGTTTCTTTACTGACAGTAAAATTATCATCGTTGTCAAAACCAAATTATTATTATAATTTCCTATTTATTGTATTAACAATGTTTGCATTTTATGGACCAGTGAGCTAAATGAAAATAACAACCGTCCGACCAATGAACACTATGAAGTCTTACATGATCCCACTTAGACAGAGCAGGAAGGTAAATCCGTCCTTTAGCATCGACATGTTTGCCCTCCCTGATGATCATGTTGTGGGTCGGTGTCAGGAAGCAAATGGGGGGAGTGAAGGGGAAGGAATCCATCAGCCACAGCACAATAGGGAAGTTGTAGGAGCGTCCTTTGTAACAAACACAGAATAGGAGCACACTACTGACATGTTCATCCAACACACAAGCACAGCTTGTCAGATAAATCCATACCTTCATACTCGACAGGGATGTTGCCGACCAACTTAAGGAGATCTTTCTGGGTGCCATCATTGAAAGCTGAAAGTAACAATGAAGTAGTCAATAACGACGGGTAAGGTACATAGATGAGTGTAAAAAAATGATAGAAAATTAAAAAACCTCACTGTATGTGCCAGGTGTAGGTTTCAGCCCAGGATAGGTTTGGTAGATTTTCTCAAGCTCCTGAACAGCAACCTCGTTAAATTTGTACTAATTATCCAAAAAGAAGAATAAATTATATTTGGTATAAACGGGAGCTGTCTGTTTCCTCACCATTACCAAAACATATATAAAAATAAATCTGTGTTTTTCTGAATAGCAGTGATTCTTTTTTTTAATTTGTAAATCATAATACAGCGTTATTTCACAGACTCATTTCCAAAAAGTCAATTTCCATCAACTAGCGATAGAAAATGTCAGTCATGCGTTGACAGGCTATAAATAGCATCATCCTAACATCATGACATTTTAGTTGAAGATATTTCATAGATGTGTGTTAATGGTCTAACCCTCCATTTTGTGGCTATTGGCTTTTGTAATGCTATCTGAATAGAACTGTATCCTGTGGTGCATAAAAAATGTATACAGGGGCTGTGTGGCTTTGCTAACACTGATTAACACCCATTTGTTATCTGCTTTAAAAAGGGCCTTGATAGTTATGTCATTTAAACCCTGATATAAGTTTTGACAGAAGCTTAAATGTAAACGGTGACTGTTACTCTGAAAAATACAAATCTTTTTTCCATAACACGTTCAGTGACTAAGCTGGTTGAGCCGGTTATTGTTGGCAAAAAGCAGCTAACAGCACTAGCATTTAATATTTACATTAGGCTACACGATGTTTTAAGAACTTAATTTACTCACTTTGGAGAGGATCCGCTGAATTTTCTCTCCGCTCAGATCCATCTGATTTACCAAATACCAAACAGAGTCGAACACACCTGTTTAGTTCCTTTCAAACTTTCCACCCTGAAAGTTCAGTCTAGCTGAACTAACTTCCGCAAACTTTAACGACTGAGGTGAAACCACGCCCATTCTGCCAGTCTGCTACAGCAAGCCGAAAGGGACTGAAATGAAAGCAAAACACTGACGCTGATATGTTTATCTTTTTCTAAATAATTTCAATCAATTTCATAAAAACAATGAATTTGTCTCACCTCAACAATGGTACACTAAAATTACAGAAAAACAACTTTACACAATGTTGATACACCTTAAAAAATAAAAAAGGTATATTTATATTTTTGATTCTTTGGCAGTACCTATTAAATATAAATAAATATATAAATAATGAATATAAATAATGAATCCACACAATTTTATATTTTAGGTATAACTAAATAAAAAAATATCACCAACACAATTAAAAGAAAATGGATCTAAGTAAGATTTTTTATTTTAATTAGTTGTGTTTTAAGTGAGTTATAAACTGCAGTTAAAAAAAACCCAATTAAATAATTTCTTGAAAAAGCCAGTAAGCCAATGATGTTTGTAGATGGCAAAAGGCTAAATCTCCTTGGCTGTGTAGGCTCAGTTCTCTTGAAAAGTTAATTGGCTTCAACCTTTTCATGTATGAGGAATCCATTTCTAAAGGTTGAACAAATAAAACGGGTCACTGCAAAAACATCAAAACATTTGTTTTCTTTGTCACCCAATGAGGTTTTAAATTAACTTAGAGTAAAAGCTTTCACCCATGTTCTGACAAAACCCAACTCCAAATGTCCTTGGAGGCAAAGCTTTTCCATCGTGGGTGGTTAGACTAAAATTTGCATGGCAGATGAGAAGACTACATTCTAGGACTGTATGTGTTTAAGTGGATAGTTTTCCTGTGTGAGTTCACTTTGGCCGCATTTGAAACCAACCTAAACTACTTGAGGACCAAGTTAGGGTTCAGGCAGCAGTATTTGATTCAACAAACATCACAGCTCACTAGGGTTAAGAAAATTATCTTTATAAAAAGAAAAAAATCCAACTTTACAGCAAGAAAATGCTTTGTTTTGCTATAATCTAAAAACAAAATACGTTACTGAAAGTGGCGTAAATATATTACTAGGTCATTTTTTAATTTAATATGGTTGGAATCTTTTTGTGCAACCATTCATTAGCAATCCTTTTTTAAAAAGATAGACACATAGTGAATTCTGCTTTAAATAGACTTTTCCATCAAGGTTTGTTAAAAAAAAGGTTGTGCACTGTTGAATATTCTCTTTTGCAGGAGATTTCCTTTAAGGAATTAGGATTGTTCAAGCCCTGCACAAATTAAAAAAAAACACAATGAGACCTTTGCATCAGCTTTCAACTACCTTGTCTCTAAAGTTTGTGCAAACCTTATACAAAATGTATTAAAAACACATCACGTTTTTTTCTAAAAAGTAAAAAGAACATTTTGAGGGAAAGCAAACGATGCTGGGTGTTGACAACCTCTGGAGTTCTGTCAGGTTGGCAGACCTATTGCTCCACTTTCTCAAGAGACATCATCAAGGGCGTTTTAATAAGTTTATTCATTCATTCACTAAGAATGTCAGTTATTTTTTCTTTTCTTGACAGATTTCCTCTTTATCTCCTCCTCTTCTTTTCTCTCCTCCTCCAAATCTTCTTGTACAGCCATTCGCAGACTACAAAGAAATAATTTCAATTAGAATAAGAAAAAACATTTACATAAATGACTCAACATTCATTTTGAACTCCATCACCTCCTGGACTCCTCTCTCTGCATATCTTTCCAGCTGCTCTCCATGAATCTAAGTGCGTAGTCACTCTCATCCTTATATCTAAAACAAAACAAAATCACTTTTACTTGACACATTTGAATGATGTTGCTGTGCTTTAATTACATTTTAAATGATAGCACTTACTTGGTTCGATCATAGCCAAAAATTTCCCTTATGTGCTTGGAAATTGCATCCTGCTCTTCACCTTCATCGTCAATAAAATCATCCATTTCTGAATCATACTCATCTTCATCTTCATATTTCCTTTTGTAGGCTGAAGTGATAGGTGGCAACATAGCTCCTGGAAGATAAAGATAATGGTTTGTTCAGGAAAAGTAAAATGAAAGAGAGAGAAAGACAAAGGGGTTGTCAGTTCTAGAACACTTAAAACCTTGCTGATCCCACACTGGGGAAATTGTCATGTTGCAGCAAAAAAGGACAGAGGTAGAATAGAATTAAATAAAAAAAAGATAAAAGAGTTTAAGATTATAAAACAAATTAAAAAAATACAAGAGGTCCTCCGTTTACGATGTCTTTATGAGGTTACATGGCAATCTCTTATAAATTTATTAGAAAGGCTTGTTTCATTGTTCCAACGTATGACATTAAAACAATACACAGAAGACGGCTAGGTTTATATTTGCGGATATACATTACATATTGGATTGTGCTACGTTTACTTTCTTTCGTTTTTGTCGGTTTTTTGGGAACTTGCCTTCATGGCTCCCAGGCACAAGTCAGACTCTTCTGATGTTATTATGTGTTAGCGTTGATGAGTGGCAAAAGTCCTTATGTACAGTATGCAAGTTCGGACTTACAGTGAACAAAATATTTATATAAAATATACTTAAAAAAGGAGAGTAAAATAAATCATGATTAAGAGTATAAAGAGCGTCTTTCTTACCACAAAAAGATATTAAAAGACCTAATATGCAAAAAGGATAATGTTTTGTGGCGATGGGTTGGACTTAAGATAGACTTCGGAGAAGATCATTTTTACTACGTAGTTTAAATACAAATCACGTAGGTGGAGCCGGCAGCTGTGAAGAGGTTAAGAGGGTAAATTAGACAGAACTTGGAATCCATTACTCCGTTACTATTATCACTCAACATTTTAGATTTTTAATTTTTTTTTTTAAATTACAAATAGATACATATCGACTATGAAACCTTTTCTTGTTTCACTAGCTGTTACCTGGAGGTCTGTTCATCATAGGTCTGGGTGGCATCCCCGGTCTTTGCTGCATCCCCGGTCTTTGCTGCATCCCCGGTCCTTGCTGCATCCCCGGTCTTTGCTGCATCCCCGGTCTTTGCTGCATCCCCGGTCTTTGCTGCATCCCCGGTCTTTGCTGCATCCCCGGTCTTTGCTGCATCCCCGGTCTTTGCTGCATCCCCGGTCCTTGCTGCATCCCCGGTCCTTGCTGCATCCCCGGTCCTTGCTGCATCCCCGGTCTCTGCGGCATCCCTGGTTCTTGCGGCATTCCCGGTCTTTGCTGTATCCCTGGTCTCTGTGGCATCCCAGGCTGAGAAGAAAGACCTGGTCTAGGTCCACCTAAATTTTTGGTTGAGATGGTCTCTGAAACCACTGTGCACTTTGCTCTTCCAGGTCCTGATCCCATTGTGCCAGCAGACCGACCTGGCAATGATCCCCCACTACCAGGCCGTGCACCTCCAATAACCTGAGGTCTGGATGCCCCACTTCCAGAAGGGTTCTTCAGAACAGTCCCACCAGGCCTGGTCTGTGCCACACCACCATTTTTTGCCTGAACAGTACTTACAGGTCTTGGATTAGGCTGACAGCCTGATTTGGGAGGACCACCAACACTGTTTCTAGCAGAATTACCACTTGATTTCAATAAAGAATTGGTAGCAGGCTTCCTTGGTTCTCCTTTCATAGATCTGCTTTCTCCAACTATAGTCTGCTGTTTCACAGGGCTCCCCTGACTTGGCCTTGTTTGTTGAGAATTTCCATGCTGAAACTTTTGGACTGCACCAGGAGGCCTGGTCCCTGAAATACTAGGTCTTGCATGCAATGCCGATGAACTCTCTTTCTTGTTGCTAAGGTCACTTGAGGCACTGGATTTGTGGCTAGATGTGGGCTTGGAGGGCCTTTGTTTGAATGAATCCTGAGAAGATGAAGACTTTGAAATAACTTTACTGTTTATGGCACATGACGAACTACTTGAACTAGATTTAAAATGGTCTCTATCACTGTGAGATGTTTTGTGCCTCTCTCTGTCATTCACAGGTTTAGAAAACATTTGGCTTCTGTCACTTTGCAACTTACAACTTGAGGGACTTTGTTTCTCTAACAAATTCTTTTGAGGCTTACGGCTCTTTTGTTCCTTGTCTAAACTGCCTGTTTTTTTCAAGGTAGAGCTAGAATGGGACCTGTTTTCTCTCTCTCTGTCCATCATTGACTCTCTGTTTTTGTCCAGTTTCCTAGCTTTGTGCTCCATCTCTTCTTCCCTTATCTCTTCAGCTGTACGTAGTCTTCCTTCTTTTTTCACTAGCTTTGGCTTAACTTCTACAGGTTGATGTTGCTTTATCTCTGCCAGTTTGAGTAAGTCTGCAAAGTTCAAAGGCGGTGGTGCGAGTTTAGATTTGTTGGAAAAAGATTTACTGTGACCACTGCTGCCACATCCATTATTAACTGCAGGTTTTCCTGGTCTTGCTGACTCGGGCTCGGACTCAGAATCAGTACCTTCATATTCTAAATTATCCTCATCTTCATTTGAATCAAATGCAGTATTCCTAAATCCATGATTATTTGGATTGTCCTCCTCCATGTCATGTTTTGATCTTCTTTTCTTTGGAATATCAACTACCGGGACACCATTGTAGCCTTTAAAATTGTCCTTAGTTCTAGAGGCCATGGCTCGTGCCTTACGATCCGACTTTAACTCAACCCTCTTGGCATATAGTTCCTCTTTCTGTTTCTTCATTTCAATTTCTGTGAAAACAGATGCATATTAAAACTTGCTTGATACATAACTCTAAATAACACTAGGCTACAAATGAAAATCAGTAATCTGCGTGCATTGTATGTTGTCAGCGTTACCTTTCTTTTTCTGGTTACATTGTTGCTTCTTTATGAAGTTTTGAATAGCAGCAGGGTTTACACCTTTGGATTTCGGGTCCTTTTTAGGTGGTCCAGCTTGTAAACTGTATCTCTTCTGCTAGAAGTGGAACACACAGATCGAAAAGATCGAGGACATGCTGACATTCATTGTTAACTACAATTTCACACATAATTAGTGCAGCGGCGGAGATAAAACGACCATGCCATTAATAAAGGGGTAACATATTGTGAAATTGGCACATTTTTCTCAATTCCACGTCCTCAAAGTCTGGCATGTAGGTTCACGAGGTTGGTGGTTAGCATCACGCTACATGATAACACCAACAATGACAGTTGAACCAGTGTTGCTCACAAACTAAGTTTAAATAAACATATGTTTCAAGTACCTGAGTATTTTTTGACATACCTGTGAACTTAGGCCCTGGTTTTGCGAGGCGATGTCCAATATATTATCAAAGTCCATCCTTTTGGCGAAAGATGGCGAAAGCTAACAGTTAAAAAAGAAAACTACACAACGAATAGTGACAGCCAGAATCGTGGCCAGAATAGGACTAATTAAACGGCACAAAACCGTTTAATGAAGTCTTCATGATACTTTATGACCAAACGTTAGCTAATCGAAAATGATCTAACGTTAACGAAGATGTTGATCTATTTGCTTCCCCTCAGGTAATTTTATACGCCATAGAAAAAAACATAGGCTTTCAGTCTTCTAAGAAAAATATCCAAACTTGACCAATACTATCAAGAGTGCGAGTGGAAGAAATGAAACGTAAGACTGAAAGACTTAAAAGAAAGACATTAGAGTACTAAAAGCTGCTGGACCGGAAGTGAGAGTATGTTCTTGTCCCCTACTTCCGGTTCAATGATTTCTCAAACACACCGACTTTTGAATAATAATAATATAAATGGTAATATTTGTTAATCAATGCAGTGTTATTGCTATTTATGTCTTTAGAATATTTATTTTTGCGTAAACCTACGACAGAAATTAGTCTGACACTTATAGACCACACGGTGTCGCTCCAACAGTTGATAAAATGTCTGCCACGGCCCTGAGACGTTGCATCAGCAGATGTACAGATGTACTGCTTGCCCAGGTTTCGTCATCAGTTGACCTATATTTATACGTACAGGTTTATTTAATACAAAATAGCATCATATAATCACAACTTCGGTAACCTCACACTACTGAGCAGTTGATTGGCGTAGCATTCCTTAACTTAAAATCTTTTAATATTGGCAGTTCTTCGACAACAAATAAGACCAATTTTCCACAATTTCAACATTAACTCATTCAGTAATTTATTCCTTAATGTTTAAAGAAAATCTGCATATTTGGTTCACATAACTATATAATCAGACGCATACCTAACAAACTTTAAAAAGTAAGGTTATATAACAAAAATGACAATGCTCTTAGTGTGTTGGCAACCTCATCCTTACATCGCTTTCTGTGCTGCCTCCCTTTCCCCGGGTTGTAGTTTATAATTCGTTCATGTTGGGACTTGTCTTTGTATATGATGGCAATAATTTGTTTCTGTAAAGACTGGTAAGGAGATTAAGTTAGTCACACTTTCATTTTATTCGGATGTTCAATCAATTTAGTTGTCCTCTATTTCGTTGTACCCCCGTGTTACAATGACACTAAAGACTATTCTATTCTATTCTACAGTCTACATCTGTCGAATGTAAATAAAGGCCATCTGCTCCGATATGTAAACACCACATTGGCTCCTCCTATTGGGCAGTGATTACCATGTATCCCCGCCTATTAAAACAATTCTGCAATCTAATTGGTTATTACCCAAAGTACCGCCCTGACCGCCCACGACCCTCGCTGTTCACTTCACCTCCTACTGGACATTGGACCGCCCACACGATAGAGGACAAAAACAACTAGCATCTTCACATAATTAATTTAAAACAACATAGATATATATCGAACTCACAGTGTAAACGTCAAACTACTGTAACCGAAAGCAACAGCAGCAGGAAGTCATGGTTTCTCCGGCCACTGTGGTAAGTAGCTTTCAGCCGCAGTCCAACACTGTACACAATGAACACGAACGTAAGTGACTTAAACGATAACAAATCGTTTGAATGTGCTCGTCTACATCCAAGTTAATGTCTCTTTCTCTCCTTACGTGTTCGACACAGACTGGTGTAGTTATAAAACCAACATTCTGTGATTTATTTTCATATTTTTTTCACAGCCAAGCATGTCGCACTTTATTTTCGGCGGACAGCGCATGCACCAACGTTCATCACAATAAGAATGTCTGTTTACGGTAGTTAAAGTGTAAAACAAAATAGTTCTGGAATGTCAGCACTCTCATTGGTTTCTCACTGCGTGCGTCTATGTTGTAAATGCGGGTAAACAACGGATGTTTCCATAATATCGATATGCTCCGCTGTCGTTTTCACTCATTTCAGAAGGCTGTCCTAGACCAAAAAACTGTCATGTGATTACTCTTTTATTTAGGTCTTTCTGTAGCTCCCTTCCTGTAGCTGTTAGCGATGCACGCTCCGTGTGAAGAGCTACTATGGCTGTATCGTATCGTAAAGGAGCCATTTGTTCAGGGTTGTGATTTTACATCAGTTTATATCTGAGCGGGATTAAAAAAAAACACGAAAACTGAAGTCCTTTAGTGTAGATGTTGTTTTTAGTTACAGTGTGTTGTGAGAATATTTTGCCTATCCAATTCAATAAACTATTTTTAGACAGCTTCTTATCCCATTTGGCCCATATTAACTGCCTCTGTAAAACAACAAAAATAGCTTGGTACTTTAATAATTTGTATGTCCCTAGTATCCCCTTACTGTAGAAAATACTACTATGGAACCCTAGTGTATAAGGTTTATTGGTATAATATCCTTAGCCTGTTGTTTCAGTGCTAAAGCATGAAATACATACATGCAACTCAACAACTCAGCCACTTGAATAATTTATTCTTCCCTGTCAATCTCCTACTGTACTTTTGACATGCTTTCCACACAAAAATGATTGCCCCGTGTGAACCAATTACCAGTAGTTGATGTCTTATTGGAGCTGTTTCACTTACTGAGGTGAAAAAGAGTAAAACAAAATATATATTTTTAGTTTTGGTATATTAAAGTCAGACTAGTGGATAAATACCACGCAGTATATCAATGTGTAACATGGGACTACATAGTTATATGTTTAAAATATGGACATAGATCTAAAGTTTATAAACTTGATAAGTTCCCTGAGGTTCCTAGAACATACACCTGTCTTCTTTGTGCCATTACAATTTCATAAAAATGTTCAAAAAAAACCCCCAAAAACATCACATCCTTGGAAATACAGAATACATTAAAGAAGTAAACATTTATTCTCCTTTATGTTTATTAGGAAAAAATAAAAACCGCAGTCTTCTAATTCATTAATTAATGTAACCTTATAAGGTCATAAGGTTGGCTGTGGGATCACATTGGCTTTATTAGCATCTGGACTATATCATTAGCATGCCACCAACAATCATGTCTGTATGTCAGTTATAGTTTGGGTTAAAATCAATCAAATATTGTTCTCACTGGAACTTTTCATCTTTTGTCATTCAAAACAGAAGATTGGATAATGAGGCTGTTTATTTTAATTATGCTGTGCTGTTCTACTGAAATGACCTCAAGTTGTCTTTGGAGTTGAGGCAGCTGTAAGATGATCGCATACACACAGTGTGTGATGCTACACAGAATTACTTTTGTCATATGACTCAATCCCAGCTGTTCCTGCCAGGGCCATACTAACCATACCATACACTCCTTAATCTTCCAAATAAAGCACACAAGAGTTCGAGGTCATTAATGTTTCTGTGTATTATGTTTCTGACTCTCTACTCTCATGTTACCCATAACGTTTTAAAGGATTGCAGCCCAGCTTTGACCCAGTGGTCACAGCTTTTACTTTCTTAATTCAAGCCTACGGAGATATCGGGTTAACATCTGTTTTGTTTTCCGTTGTAACACTGCTAAAAGATGAGGTCTAATAATTTAAAAACAACAATTTATCACTACATAAGAATAGACGTAAGTAAGAATTAAAAAAAAATAACACTACCCTCTTATTGTTGTTTTTTGTTAAACTTTTAACCAGTGGCACATTTTACATTTGAAAAATCCCAAAACACAACACAAGACGTGGTCTGTAAGGCCCTTTATTAAATAATGCTGATTTTCTGATTTCTTGCTTTTTTTTACTTGTTTCGTATCAGAGAAAGTTTGAGGCCAATTCAACACAGCACCTGATCCTGTACTGTAATATAGAGTGTAATGTTTTGAACAGTTGTGCAATTAGGGGTTTCCTCTTCCCCCTCTTTCCACAGGAACTTAAATCCTATGAACTAGAGTGA